CCGCCGGTTTGTCGCCCCCGAGGGTTGGCGGAGTCGCGGACCTCCACCGCCCCCACCCCTGGTGGCGCCTCGTCAGCCTCGACGTTCTTTTGCTGGTCGTGAAACTCTCGAGTCTTCTGCTCGGCGACTCGCTTTTCCTCCTCTAGAGCCGACTCCACGACGCCGATTGTGGGATGGAGAATTTCGCGCGCGATCGGCGGGGCGACGGCCGCCTCCAGACGCGGTTTTTCCCTTTCCCGAAGGCGTTTAGCCCAATCCGGCCCCAACTCCACCACCGAGGCTGGGGATTGAGGAGACGTATCAGCACCGGGGCTTTGAGAACCCAGCGCCTCTCCCCCGGAGGCCGCACCGACGCGCTTCATTGGATCCACCCCTTCTCGCCGCGCGTTGCCCGATGAGGAGGCTTCGGGCGAACCGCTTATTTCCCCATAAACCGACGAGCCTGCCGGCAGCCGCCATTTACGCTCCGAGGTTGAGGCATAGAGTGGACCCTGAATGTCCTCAAAGGGACCGTCGAGGTCGCCATCCTCATCGCTCCCGTCGCCCTCCCGGTGACGCTTCCTGCGAGAGGGAAGGTTCTCACGCGTGCCCGGTTGGTCTCGCCTGCACGCGCGAACGAGGTTCAGAATAGGGTAAACATCCGGCCCGTAGGCGAGCGTATTACACTCCGCGTGTGGATCCTTCGGGTCCGTCGTGACGTAGCGTTTTGCCTGGGCATGTATAACCAGTTTGGCGAGCAGAAGCTCGGATCCACATATCTCTTGCGTTGATGTCTGCATCTGAGCGGTCTTAATCACGCGTAGCTTCCTCTTTTAAAGGGTAGATACTGAGGATTATTCGCAAATTAGTATATATATATATATATATATATTACTCACTACACCTGTGTGTGCGATCACTTAAAAAAATCCCTTTTGTGTTATTCTATACGCACAAACCTGAAGGATGGTGTGCACTATACTTGCAAAAAGAAAAACTTAAAGGTTAACGAAGGCAGGGAGCTTATCTTGTTGGGATAGCTTGTCCTTGCGGAGATTTTTCGTATAATTACATAGAAGTTCGTCGCAGACAATAAACACTCTTTTCCTGTCTACCGTTTCGATGTCTCTTTTCACTACTTGTATACGTGCACGTCGTTTTGATATATATATCGATATATCTACACACATATATATATGCATATATATTTATTCTAGTGACGAGAAATAAGAACACAACGTCCTTATAAAACTCTTGTTATTCTTCCGAGAGGAAAGGAATGCCTAGTTCCCGCCAATCGTTGGCCAGCGAATCTTCACCACGCCAGGGGGTAGCTCCAACACAACCGAACATACCTCTTCGACCCCACGCGAGGCTTGTGTCGCCGCTTCCCGTTGCCCTACTAGCGGCTGCCACGCAATAGCTAGGGCGTAGGCCATAACTCAGCGGGCAGTTGGGTGGTAATAGGAACGAGGAAGGAGGATCAAAATCCAGCAATAGTTCTAATTTGAGATTGTCAATTCTTAATGTGGGACCTTCTAGATGCCAAAGTCGATGCCTGTATTGACTATCCTGCGACATAAGCCAGATCAACGAGGGACAATAGCAAACAAATCTTGAACTACAAATCAAGAAGAGTTTGGAAAAATCCTCGAGAGGACTCTTTAATACTCTCGCTCTCTGCTATAATTGTCATAGAAAAGAGGGAAGAAGCTATTTAAGTTATTTTTGAACCAGAAATTTAGCACATCAAATAAAAGTAATAGAAATGAACATAAAGTAGACAGTATACCGTGTAACGCTATCAAAAGAATATATCTAAAACTACCCCTTCCACGTTTTTAAACGCCTTTCCCACTTTTTTTTGACGTTCAGAAAAAAATACAAAAAAAATTTCTATCAGTTTACGGCCAGAGAGTCAAGAATGAGGAACATAAATACATCCACCTTCTCCAAACAAAATGGGCGGTCAAGGCATGATAAAATGTAGCTGTTATGCGTCCTCCATGGGTGCTGGTCGTACCCATCCTAAGATTCGTTGTCCCAGAGTGTCTTCCAAATACAAAGCACAAGAAGGATGATATTCGCGTAGTATCAACATGCGAGAAAAATTTCGGAGCTCGTCGTTATCAGCCAACATTTTTTCTACCTCACTGCGTCGATTCTTTTCCCCATTACCTATCATGCTCATGTTACATTTTGCAATGGTTGAAGGCGCATATTTCCGCGTCGCACCAGTCATGGGTTTATATTCGCCTGCCCATGGGCGGTTATCCCAGTTTTGTTCGGCTAGATAAATTTTGTAGTAAACATATGCACTTTGAAGGTCTGTTCTGTTAGCCAAGTCAGAGCTCTCCGTGCCGTTCGCTAGCGTATTACTTGTAGTAGACATATCAGCCTGAATTCCATTTATGGAGTTCAAAGGCCTGTTTAACGGGTTAATGGAGCCTTTGACCGCTCCACTACCTCTGCTGGCAGTAGCGAGCCTTCGCTGACCTTCCCTGCTCTCAAGAGGTTGGTTTCCTGTGTTCAAATCAGGTTGGCGATACGGCCCTTTCACCCCTACAATGACCGCGACATGACCATTAGCCAGCGTAGAACGATCTTTGGCATACACAAGAAGGTCGCCTGACTTGGGGAGGGAGGAATTCCCCCGATAGGTGGTGCACTTAGTTTGCGAGGTGGCTTTGACTTCCGTCAATGGAAATTCCATGGGGAGTCCGTCGTTAGGATCTGTGAGATACGCTTGAGATGCCTTGGCGGCTTCTTGGATCGTTGCATTATTGCCACTGGGAAGTTCTTGAGGGGTGTAATTGTCCGATTCTAGTGGGAGAGGCCCGTCCAGGTTGCGGAAGTGTTCCAGTGGGACGGCAGTTCCGCTCATAGTATTCGAAAGGCTCATTACCTCCGTGATATTCATGAGTTGTTCTGGTGAAGACAGAGAGGGTATGGTCAGAAGCTTCCGAAGGATCCAATATCGTCGAGCGTACTCAACTGAGCCCCATTTCGAACCAGTGTAGATTCGGTGCAGGCCCACAGTAACGTAATTTTGGATTCCTTCACCCCTATAGCTATACTTGCAGTTGCTGTATGCGGTCACACGTTTGCTCGTACCAAGAATGGTACCGAAGCGACTCCCGCAATCTGGCCCTGTCGGCGGGACTTGCACGATAAGGATCTGATACGAAACACCGATAAAAAGTAATATCGTCAACAGCACCACAATCCATTGCTGGTGGCAGTGGTCCTTCAGTTCGATGGAATACGGAGAGCCCTGGTTAGGGGATTGGTAAAGCGCGTAACGCACACCTGCGGGATAAGTTCCTGGTGATGTGGCACTCTTGTAGAATCGATTTCTACCCCTACCATCCTCAACAAGCCCAAGAGGGGGCACAAAAGTGCCATAGTGCGAGGTCTGGCTGTCTTGTGCGGGAAGGCTCTCGAAAGGGATAGAAAGTGGCTCTGGGCGGTGTTGTTGCCTGCCCGCCCAGAAGCCATGGGGGTTCTGAATGCGAGAGGGAGGGGAGGTAGGAGCACTAGACATGTTTAGATCCTTACCGTGGCTGTTCAACTCACAAAAGTTAAATAAAAGTAATGTAGTGGAGTGACAACAAAAATGATAATAATAAAAAGGTATAAAATACGCTATTAAGGTACCAAAAGATTCTCTCTCTCTCTATATATATATATATATAAACTTTGGGTGTCGTTAAGTACTCTAATAAATGGTTTAATGAAAGTCCTTTTATTTTGATATAGGTTGATTCTGAAATACTATTCACTTCGAAACAGATTGACACGATAGATTTCTAAAAAAGGGGAAGAAAAGGAGCCATTTTTCCTTCTGCACAGTCCTCAATTCGAATAGCAAACTCTACAAATATAACCACAATAAATTACATGATTAGAAACGCCCATAAAGTATGTAATAAAAAAGCGACAACAGTTGAATTGCTATACTATGATACTTTTATGCTTCATGTGCAAATTTTTTGCAATCCCTCCCCTCCCTTTACACACACACACACACACACACACACACACACACACACACACACAACAACT